AATTATAATGATTCAGAAAAATGAAAATATTTGAAATTAAAAAATCAGTGACATTGTGTTTATTTAAAAATTGAAAATTGTAAGTAAAAAATGTTAAAGTAGAATCCTACATTTACTCTCTCTCCAGTGAAACACATAGTTATTAATATTAATTTAGGTTAAATGTAACTTTTTTTGTTTGGTGTTTGTCAGTGTAGTTGTGTTTCGTGATGAAGTGGTTGACATAATGTTTGCAGGTTTAAATATTGATTTTGATATAATTTTATTTTTATATTGTATTTCAAAAGTTTTGTTATGTTTGTATATAACTTTAAATGGTCCTTCATAAGGAGGTTCAAGATTAGACTTATGAATAACTTCACAAGAACTTAAATTTTTAGGAATGCAACTATTTTCTTTATTATGATGTATTACTTTCGATCGAACAGGAGAGAAATGTTTTATTAATTTAGAAAGAATTTCATTTGTATTTTCTATTTGGTTATTATAATTATTACTGGAAACAATAAGTTCACCCGGAAGTCTCAGTGTTTGATCATAAACTAATTCAGCTGAAGAACATTTAAGATCTTCCTTAATTGCTGTTCGTAAACCAAAAAGAATCCACGATAAAATTTCAGACAAATGAACTGAATCATTTGAGGCTGTAGCTGCAGTTTTCAAAGTTCTATGAAATCTTCCAATCATTCCATTTGACTGTGGATGATATGGAGAAGTGTGTATTTCGTGAGAACCTAATAACTTTGTTAATTCATTAAATAACTTTGAAGTAAATTGTGTTCCTTGATTTACTGTTATATTGAGTGGAATACCGAAACGAGGAACATAATTTTGAATAAATGTAGTTGCAACAGAAATCGCTGAAATGTCTTTGAGTGGATATACTTCCGGCCATCGAGTATGTCTGTAAATGAGGTCCTACTAAATCCAAATCGTCCAGAAAGAATATAAATCTTTTGAATTGGAGTTTTTATGTTCTTAGCAACTTTAGTTTTTTGACAGTTAATGCAAGAAGATTTCTTTACGCATATTAGGCCAAAAATATTTAAACTGAATAAGACGTGTTCGAACACTTGGATGGGATAAAGAACGATTTTTTTCAAAAATAATTTTTCTCACTGAATTACCACCACCATTGACACCAAATAATGAGATTTAGAATAAGTACATTAATTTATTTTAAATTACTTTAGCATTTGGATTTGAAATTATGTTTTTAAGTATTTCATCTTTTCTTGTTCTTCATAAAGGTTTGTTGAAATAGAATTAATTTCTGGGATACGAGAAAGAGTTTCAGCTATTTTGTATCTAATATCATTAGTATATTGAGCAATATAATCTAAATGTCTAATTCGACGAAGAGATCTAGCTGCTTTAGAATAAACAGTAAAAACTCTGCCCTCGAGAAAATGTTTAATTGAATTATATATTGCTAAAAGTTCTCTATCGAATGTTGAATAATTAATTCCAGTTGGAGTTAGTTTTCGCGAAAAATATGCTAATGGTTCTAATGTGTTATTACTCTTTCGTTGTAAAACAGCTCCAATAGCAGATTTGATGCATCTACTGAAATTGTTAATTCACAAAATTATAATGATTCAGAAAAATGAAAATATTTGAAATTAAAACATCAGTAACATAAAAATTTAAAAATTGAAAATTGTAAGCTGCAAATGTTAAATTGGATTCCTACAATGATCTAGGAGATCGGTCAGTTGGTGACTTTCAATTAGTTTTTGTTAAATTTAAAAATACCAAATCCTTTGCAAGTGCCTTATTAGTGTTGCTTTCAAATTTTAGAGCGATCGGTTAAAATGTTGTCGAGAAAATTCAAGATAGCTGAGGATTGGTCGGACGAAATTCCACCACCAACACAAACAGAAATTCGTCATGTGGTTCTCTTCGGGTTTCGGCGTAATTTACAGCCAATACAAATATTAAGTGAATGCCAAATTGCATATGGAGCGATTGCAGCGTCTTTAAATACTATTTCTAAGTGGTCCCGAAGAATCTAGACCGCACATTTTTTCGTTGAGGACGAGCCCCGTGAAGGTTGACCGTTGACGTTACCGTAACTCTGGTGAAGTTAAAATTGACGAAGTCCCACGATTGATACTAGAAAGGATTGCTTATGAATTGTGATTGAATGTCATGGCTGTATCGCGAATATTATCCAATCATCTTGGATACACAGAAGAAATCTGTGAATTTTAGATGAAGCCGAAAAAGAGGCTCGAGTGCATTTTGTACAATTTTTCGTAAATAAATTCGTAAATGGTCAGCCTATCAACTTTAATAAAGTCGTTACTGGTGACGAATCTTGGTTCTACGAGTACGATCCAGAAACCAAAGAACAGTCCATGGAATGGCGTCTAACAGGAGCCAACCCACCCGTAAATCTAAGCAACAAAAATCAGCAGCAAATCAGCAGTTTACTTCACCTGATCTGAAATCGTATCTGCTATTCCACTGAAAAAGGGTCAGACGGTAACTGCGAAATCTTACACCGAAGGTACACAAAGTTTTCAAAATTTTTTCGGATAACTATAAGAAAGAGGATTTACGGCGCTACTTCTTACATCAAGATAACGCGCCATCACACACTGCTAAAATAACGAGTAATTTATTGCGATCTCTGGAATCGATAAAATACGTCCAGCGCCATATCCCCCAGATATAGCACCTTGTGATTTCTGGTTATTTCCATTAAATTAAAAAATAAAATAAAAGGAATGGTATTTAAAAGGAATTTTGAACTTGATATGTTAAAAAGCAAAATTTTGAAAAATGTTTTCAGAAATGGATCTATATACTTAAGAAATGCGTTGTTCTGAGTTCTAAAAAATGGTAGAAATTTAGCACGAGCTCGAGCTTTTTCGAACAATAAGCAACGACAAAGTGTGCGAGTACTCGCTGCTCAAACACTCGAAAATGTTCGAACAAGTTGTTGAGTTCCAGTAGGAGTTACTGATGTAAAACGATTGCATAGCAGTATAAATAGGGATTATCATATTCTGCTTTCGTAATACACGGTGTGACCTAAAAATAATAATAAAGATACATTCTTCCTCTTTCAAACGCACCTACCATCATGCAAGTCGGATGGCAGATCTAAAAGTGACTGCCTTTTCAATAAAACCAAAAGTATGCTAAAGGTTCAAAAATAAAATGGAACAAAGAACAAATATAAAATTTTTTGTCAAACTTGAAAAAAAAATTAATGAAGAAGGTTTATTATAATGATTGTATGAGTCGTACGCAAGTTTATACGTGGTTTAAACGATAAAAAATGGCCTATGCAAATTTTACTACGACAATGTTGGCTGAGGAATTGAATACGAGTAAAAACACTATTTGGAGAATTTTAACTGAAGATTTGGGGAAAAGAAAAGTCTGTGCCCGAATTAAATGACGACCGAAAAATCGCTCGAATTTTTAATGAAAAAAGGGATTTCTCTTATCGACCATCCTCCGTAATCGCCTGATCTATCACCAAAACTAAAAACCAAGATGAAGGGTGCATTTTATGATGATATCCCAGCCATTCAAGCAGCCGTAACCGAGGTACTGAAGAAAATTTCTATAAATGATAATATAATGTGTATTTTATTTTATATCCAAAAAGTTCGGTTATTTTTCGGACACACCGCGTACATGTTAACCTTTTGAGAACCTCTAAAACAGATTGTCAGAATCTAAGTATAATGAGCAACAAAAACGTTTAGTAAAATCCAAAATATAGAGGAACAGATAAAAAATATGACTCTCCAGTATTATCCGAAAAATAATTGTGTTACAATACAATGCTTGTTGTCGCTATAGATATTCGACCTCCATTTGTGGTAAACAAAATACCCCGTCGAGAGATTTCACGATGCCATAAACGTGAGAGCAAAATAAACCTTGTTTGGCACAAAAGCCTGCAAAGTTAATTATCATTTGGACTACCCAACATCTTTGTTGATATTTGACTTTTCTACAAAATGAAATCTTGTATTCAGAAGGCCTCCAAGAAGCTTTGGTTTATCTACAAATTTTTGATAGGAATTGTTGCCATCGCTGCTAAATTTCAACCGTACTCTTCTTGTAGTTAAAAACTGTGACAGTTCTTGGATTATTTGTTAGAAATTTGGTTGGTTAATTGGTTGAAAGAAGAAAGTTGAGGAACTGACTGCAAGGCACCGCACCGAGTATCCCAACTATAGGCTTGCGAAAAATCGTCTGAACGCCGCAAAGGGAGTGTTTTTGTATTTCGAAATCTCATTGGAATGCCATGGACCCAGTCGATTCCACTGTATCTAGGTTTTGCTACGTTGGAAGTGCTTCAGATACTTACATACATATGTATATAAGACCGCCACAGTCTTTGATTTTTATACCTTTCATACACATGAAATGGTTTATTAACTTTGGTCCCAAGTAAATAAATACCAGGAGGAGAGAAGATAGGTCCATCAAAAACTATTGCGATCGGGTTAAAATGACGAGTTGAGTAGATTTTCCCATCTTCGTCTGTCTATACATTTAAACGATCATTTATCGGAATCTATCAGATAAGACTAGTGTGAGATATATACAACCGAGTTTACAGGAATTTGTCAAAAATACACCCACATGGTGAACTACACATCGGTACTGAAAATTATCGAAATCGGAGAAAGCTTCATACAGTCCCTCCGACTAATTTTTCAGAAAATAAAAGGCCTTAAATTTGATAATGTCATGAAAGGTATAAGGAAAGCTCTTAATTCTTGTTTAATATGTAATTTTTCCTTACAACATATCAACATTGATTCTCCACCGTTATAAATGAACTAACATTTTTTTCTAAGAATAAGAAAGAAGGAAGTTTTTCAGCATTCCATTAGGCCGGAAACATGACTATTTGTTTTTCCAGTATACAAGTTTTCCTAATTTCGTAAGCTGCGTATTTAAATAAAAATTTTGAATATGTCTACAACAAGACTGAAGACCCATGATGATGTAGGGAGTATACTTACGTTGCGAGCTCCTCGATTCCAAGCGAATGCAGAACTGTTGGCAAACTTGGTAAAGAGTGGCAAGTTGTAAGTTCCTTTTGACGCGGGTAATACAGTGTTAGTACTGTGCAACTTTCCTCCTTCATAGTCAGGCCACCTGCAACGAGACGTAATAACAACAATTTAACGATGGTTTCAATTCAAAAAAAAAAAAAAAAAAAGAAACCGTTTGCTGGCATGGTGCAAGACCTTTGTGAAATGAAACTGGCTTACGTTCGCTCATAGTCCAAGCGAATTGCATTTTTCTTACTTAAATGAACAGTGAAAGGTACAACAGCTTGAGGCTTCATCGGCGAAAACAAAAAGGATATGCACTGACATAAGCGCCATGACATACAATTTTATTGAATTGCATGAAAACACATACAAACACACTTGCATATGTATGTGTACAAGGATTATGAGGAGTGTGGAAGCAATGGCAATGGCGGCAAAGAAAACCATGTTTTGGTAGCCAACGAACAAGACGCTTTTGGAAGGGGACGCGTGCTTCAGAAAGTGTTGCAAAGTCGGTTGATTGTAGTGCGCAACCATAGGTGAGTTTCTCTAAACGATTTGTTTGAAAGCGCAATGTTGAGCGCCTCTTTGCTTTGGCATTTCGCCATTTGACTATCGCCGTTTTGACTTAACTCTCATAGCTGCTGTTTGCATGTTTGTAGTTAAATGGGCTATATATGCGCCGCCTGTAATGGTTACTTACCGAGGGTAATTGCCTTCCGTGTGGAACTGTCATAAATGCACTCGGCAATGAGTCGATCACCAGGCATAGACCGCACCGGTGATGGCAGGTGACGAAAGTCTTGGTATGCCGGGTCGATGTTGGTGTCCATTGCGATTGGAGGAAGCTCTTCAGTCTGCCGAATCTGCAATTATAATTTTGACGGTTAGTTGGTTCAAAAGGACAGGCATTGTCAGCATACTGTGGTTGAATTATAACAACGAATGAAACCTTGGCGAACAGAGCAATTATTTTTCTAACCGCAAATGAAAGGCTTGATGGGCTACTTGTTTTTTTTCTGATAATTTTTAATTTTCTGTGTTGATGATTACTTTGTAGTCAAACTCAAAAATAAACAAAACATGTCGCACGAGGTTTCGATTGACATGGTTAAGGTAAAATATGCATAATTGTATACGAGAAGAGAGTATTTTGTTCATTCACTGTTTGCTTTTCATACATTGGCACAAGATACTTTTTTCAATGTACAAATAAATTGAATTCTTTCAAATATTTACGAGGAAATTTAACTACTCTGATTCTAGCGGAAAAAACATTCCAAGGTAGCAATGGCAAACTGTCTGGAACACAACAATTATGGCAATAAGCAAAGTTAGTGATGTCACTAAAAATACAATAATAAAACAAAAGACTCTCCAGTTGTTTAAGTCCATTTCACTAAAAGATATATGAACGAATTTTATATTTATGTACATAAATGTGTGCACTGGTGGAACTTCCATAATCCTTTATTATTATGCTTTAATGTTTTTATCACCAAAACCGGAGCCAAGAGTTGGGCATTGAAGTCAAATTTCTTACTCAGCAAGTTAAGGAAAACTAATAGATATTTTATTTGAATTAAAAATAAAATATAAATTTAAATTGATATTACTACAACCGATAAAATAAAATGTTTTTATATATAGAAATTATTTAAAATAAAATTAAAAAAAATAAATATAATAAAATTATATGAAATAAATAAAAAAAACAAAAACTTATAATAAAATAAAAATTAAAATACGATAAAAAATAAAATATAACATAATAAATTGAAAGAAAAAAATATGAAATAAAAGATTCAATAAACGAAATAAAAACAAATTAAAACAAACCAAACAAACCAAACAAATTGAGACACATAATTTACTTTATTAAATAATGAATAAAATAAAAAATAATAAAAAAGGTAAATAAAATAAAATAAACTGAAACAAACTAAAACAATTAAAACAATATAATGGAATTTATTAAATAATAAAATATAAAAAGTAAAATAAAATAAAATAAAACAAAACAAAATAATAAACAATAAATGAAATATAATAAACTGGAACAATATAAATAATAAAAAAAAAAAACATAATGAAATTAAATAAAGTACATAAAAAAATCAATAAAAAAAAATAAAATAAAAAATTAAATAAAATTAAACAAACTAAAATAATTAAAACATTATAATTTAATTGATTAAATAATAAAAGATAATAAGTAAAATAAAATAATATATAATAGAATAATAAACAACAAACGATATAAAATAAAATAAAATACCATATAAAAATAAATAAATAAAAAAAATAAAAAATTGAACAAAATGAAATGGAATAAATAAAAATAAAGATAAAAATAAAATAACATTAAGAGTAAAAAAGTCGATAACTTTTTTCAGTGCTTGCGTTTGACTATTACAAAAATCTATGCTCATTACTATCGACTTTTGCTGGACAATAAAACACTTTCGAAATTCATATTTAAAATCATTGCATGTTTCGGTAATCCTTACCTGTCTGAGCTTAACTTCCTTGCCAATTTGATGCGTTCGCATCATCACCGCAAAGATGTTTATGCCCTGCGATGGAAAGGCATAGGCTGTACAATCTTCAATACATTGCCCTTCGGAGATGACTTCCTTTTGACCTGGTGGAATAATGTGCCGCCAATTTGGGTCCATACCTGAAAAGCAATGAGTGTAATAATACATATGTATTAAGACATATCGTAATTGAAAAAATCATTAATATTGGTTTTGGAAATTACGTTAAATATAAGTACATGGTAAAGTATGAAATGCCAAATATATAACTTTGAAAAATTTGTAAACTCATGGCTTGGTTAATTTTGATTGTACAGTACGGTTAGATTGTCTTCTACAAGGCCACCCTGGATAATTGGCCATAACTAGAATATTCATTCATAACACTTTTTTTTAGGGGTGCATACTACCGTGTGGAAGGTGTAATTATATAAATTAATTTTTCTGTAGTTCCTCGAAAGGGCGTGTCAACCTCTTGGAATGTACGTATTTCTGACATGAAATAAATGGGTCCCCATACATATATCCCACTCGTTCAGAATTTTTGGAAAAAAACATCAAATGGTGTATTGTAATTTAGAAAATCGGCACAAGCAGCTGTGAATGCGCGTGTTCTGTAGAAGCTCAAAGTTGATGACACTGTGGGATCTACTTCTGCGATCACTGTTCTGAAAAGACCAGTTGAGCATCTCACTGTTCACATGTTACGAGAATGATTAAACGCGTCGTGTCTGACCAAAGAGCAACGAATGGCTATCGAAAGAGGGCCCAAAATTGACAATCAACCAGGTCTAGACCACCTGCACAAAGTTACCTTTGAATCGATTCGAAGATGCAGCCAATGTTCTAGGAGGAAAGACAAGAAAACGCGTATCGGATGTTCGGCTTGTGAGAGGCCTGTCTTCCTACTCAATTTGACCGTTTGACCTCGAATTTATATGTAGAAGCCAATAAAATACGAAAAAATCAATTTTAAGACTTGTCATTTTTTTCCATCTTTTCCTACAATAATTCTGTGAAATAATATTCTTTTTGAAGAATCGGAAAATTCTGTCATTTTTGCATGATAGTGGCATATGTTGTGCATACCACCCTGAAACATTAGCCTGAAATATTGAAAAATTGCGGATATATGAATTTTTCTATGAAAAAGGCCTTTTTTGGGATTGTTTACCTATATTAACAGTTTTCACAGCACCATCTATGAATTAATTAATTTAGACCGTTAGAAAATTTAAAAAACGAGTTAAATAATCATAATCGGATGCTTAAAATATTAAAATATCTATGGAACTTGCATAATCGGGCTTTTCCACGTGGAGTAAATAATTACCCTGGCCGCTACGAGGTGAAACTGAGGGTTAAGGAATCATTGCTTCAATTAGCGAACCAAATCAAAGCCACCGGATAGTGAAATTGTTAGAACTGGAAATTTTTGTTGCAATGCAGTTTACTAATAAATAATTTATATTTCTCCCAACCTCAAATTACCTCCAACTAATTTTTCGCATCTCAAACTTCGGTTAATAAAATTAAAATGGTATGAAAATAAATTTTATATTATTATTTGACTAAAATAACAATAAACTTTTCAATCGATAAAGTGATAGATGGCAAGAAAATCGATTGCTACTGTATGAAATATTTAAAATATGTATTCTATTCGAATTGCTGCCGTACAACCACGAAGTCATCCTTCGGCCCACTTGAGCAATTTAATTTTATTTTTAGTACAATATTTGTTGACTGTAGATATTAAAATTTTATTTTTCTCTCCACACCCACTCAGCCACTACCAACCACCAGCCATGCTCGTGCTCGTGCTCGTGCCCGTGCCCTTTCCCATTACAATTTCCATTTCAATTTTCCAATTTCGACTCTCACAACTCGCGTAATACCACAACAAAAGTCTCCTTTCGTGTTTTTTAATGCGAATTTCGATTGACGTGCACGAAAGCACAGCATGAAATATAAATTCGGTTATATTTTTGACGAGGTAGTATTGCGCGAAATATATTCAGCTTTGGCCAGGTGCAATTGCGCTAAGTAGAATTTCCCCGCACATGCACTGTCTCCGGCAAACTTTAATTTTATTTATATATGTATGTATATACGAGTATGTGCTTAAATATGTGTGTGCATACTCGTACATACTCGTGCATACGTGTATGTACTTGTTTATCCTATGTGAAGTAAGTAAAAATAAAAGAGATAAAAAAGCGACTATCATAGGAAAAATGGCATGGATCAGACTACAACAATTTTAAATTTCTGAACAATAGTATGTCTGTGCATGGTGAGCATGTTGGAACTTACACACCCGCTCAATATAGCCATTGTCTATGCAATTTGGCCCAGTGCTGTTGTGGCTTCCGGGCGACGGCTCCACCGTCATGTAGCACTGTGGTGCAGAATTGGATAGAAGCGATTCGCGCCGACTCACGGACTGCGGTGTGGGGTTGCGTGTCAGGTCAGGCGAAAGCAAACTACAACTACAATAATAACAATAATAACAATAAGAACAATACATTCATACATATATTCAATTGTATGAAAACTAAAGGAAAATTATTATTGCTGTCGATTCTGACAATTTCATTTCACTGAACATAAAATTAAGAACGCGAGCGCACGAAAGTAAGTAGGTGGTATAATGCAATATCCTTTCGTTATTTTCGCTTTTATTATTACATATTATTTTAAGTGCTGTCACTGGACTCTGAAGCAAAACGATTTCAAGCCGATTCCATGACACGCGACCGGATTGATGGGTGAATGCGATTCGTGTTCTTAAACAGTAATTCATCTTAATAATAATTGGGGTAGTCAAATAGGCAGTAAACTACAGTTAATTATCATTCTAATACCTATGCTATGGTAAGTATGTAGGAATGTCAAGTTATTGAATAATTACCAATTGATAGTATGCCGGCGTCGTTTGGACGCAGTACGTGTGTAATGTATATCCTTAACCCCGAGTTGTCAGCCATTTGTCGACTGTATTGCTGGGCCAAATCCGGTTGAAAGTGGTTGTAATGTGTTTCCATTAGATAGTATTTGGCAATGTGTGATTCGATAGCATAGCCAGTTTCATCGGGAAATGTGAAACCCTGCGAAGAGAAGTAGAATAAATTATATATTATATCTTAATGTATGTATTTATGTATGTCTCTTTCACTTTGTCAAAGGTGAGCTGACAACTCTTCTCATAGCTGGTGTTTTTAAAGGTTTCATAGTAAAATTGCCACACATATTTTCTAAATTATTTTTATTAAAAAATTGTCTGTGAAAGATTTGTCGTTTAATGATGAAATATTTCTTTAATAAAATAAAATCTTCTACAAGACAATAAGGGGTAAAATGGATTATACGACAAAAAAATATTGAAACCTCCAGGTTTTGATACTCAGAGCAGACTTGAAATCAATTAAAGAAGCAAAGCTTAAAAATTAAAAATGCGTTTTAATACCTTTTTATCTATTAAAATTGAGAGTTACAATTTTAATTTGTTTAGGAAAACTGTTCGTACAAATTTGAAAAAAAAATTTGACTTTTTCACAATTTTTTCTTTGTACAGAAACTGCATTATTAGTTTCTGTCCCATAACTAATTCCTGGGACGAAGATAGTTGAAGCCAAAATGATCCTTTTGCCTTAAAAATTGAAAAATAAATTTAAAAAAAAATGTAAGCTGAATAAAAACACAATATACTGTTACAATTTTTGCGAACCCTTAGATCGACAAAAAATATAAATTGAAAATCTTTTCTTGTAAAAATTTTTTTTTTAGTTAAAAATGTTAAAACTAAAATCTTCAAGTTCAAAATTGGTTTTCTTACCAACTCCAAACAAAGATTACAAAAATTCGCAATTTGTTTGGGTTTTTTTTTTTAATTTTTTGCAGGGTGTACGGTACACTTTATGAAGAGTAAGGCGAAAAGCAATATTTCGCTCATGGGATATTGCGATCAGAAAAATCTTTCCTCTCTTCCAGCACAACAAGCATTCTTTAATAGCCTTTACCTACTGCTGGAAATGGCGCTTTGTCAAAGCTCTTGGTTAAAGTCCCATTGAAAATTATGAAAAATTATGGCATAGGTTAGGTTCCCCTGTCCGGCTGATGTACGTTACATACATAGACTCGTTAGAGCCAGATTATGACGTGAAACGTCAGTCACTGAATTTCAGCTATGTAGATCTATGTAAAAAATAGATAAAATATTTGACTAACAGTACTTTTGGAGTACGTTCAACAATAGATTTGGTAAATTTTATGATAACACATTTATGTTGGTGTTACCATATATGATTTTTACGTAAGATTTTTTAGCCATTATATTAAAATCATCATTTGGGTTAATTTGATTGGACAGCCGGTTTGTGGCCAGCACATTTAAACCTTTTGGCAAAGATGACTAAATACGAAAATTACTCAAAATCACTCAAATTGCAGCTCAGAACGCTTACCATCTCACATTGTTGGCAGCAGTGTCCGAACAGGTAACATTCAAAGCAGATGTGCCAAACGCACCAGTACGACTACCTGGTGTGTAAGTCTGAAACCGGAATTTGCCTATAGGTTGCGCTAGATGTCGCTGCCGACACATCACGTCAGCGATGTCTTGTTAGTGTATTGATATCCGACAATGATTTCCAACTCACAATAGAACGAGTTTCGTTCAGTAGCTTTAGTTTATTAGAGTTAATTATTTCCAGTTTTGTGCGAAAAAAATTACGATTTACGGACAGCACTCCTTTCCTTTTTATCTACTACGAGCTGCTAAAACCTGGGAAAACTGTCAATACTCAACAACTACAACAAATGACCGATTTGGATCGAGTTTTTAGTGAAAAACGAAGGCACCAGAACACAAAGCAGGAAACGATAGAGTCATTCCGTTGGGAGATTCTTCAGCACGCGTCTTATCCACCGGACCTTGCCCCATCCGATTACTACTTACGTGCATCGATGGCTGGTTTGCCTCAAAAGAGCAACAGTTCTTTTGGCGCGGAATCCACAAATTGTCAGAAAGATGGGAAAAATATATAGATAGCAATGGACAATACTTTGAATAAGTTACTTTGTATCATATCATTACAATAAACGTGTCTTTTCTGTACATAAATTCCGTAGTAAATATTAAAAAAGAAATTATTGTAATTTTATTATTTAAACTTAATATAATTAAATACACGGTGTGCCCCAAAAATAACCGAGCTTTTTGGATATAAAATAAAATACATATTATATTATCTTTGAAAGTTATTATTTATTCAAAATAGGTTCCATTTGACTCAACACAACGTTTGGAACGATCAACCAGCGCATGCATAGATTTTTTTATGTCATTTATAGAAATGTTCTTCAGTACCTCGGTTACGGCTGCTTGAATGGCTGGGATATCATCATAAAATGCTCCCTTCATCTTGGTTTTCAGTTTTGGAAATAAAAAATAGTCACATGGTGATAGATCAGGCGAATACGGAGGATGGTCGATGAGAGAAATCCCTTTTTTCATTAAAAATTCGAGCGATTTTTTGGTCGTCATTTAATTCATGTGGAACAAATCGCGCACAGACCTTTCTTTTCCCCAAATCTTCAGTTAAAATTCTCCAAATAGTGTTTTTACTCGTATTCAATTCCTCAGCCAACATTCTCGTAGTAAAATTTGCATCGATACCAATGATTTCACGGACTTTTTCCACCAGTTCAGCACGATTACTAGTTTCTGGACGTCCTGCTCTAGGGTCGTCATTTAAATCCTCACGACCATTTTTAAATCGTGTAAACCACGTATAAACTTGCGTACGACTCATACAATCATCACAATAAACTTTTTTCATTAATTTTTTTTCAAGTTTGACACAAAATTTTATATTTGCTCTTTGTTCCATTTTACTTTTGAACACTTTTCGTTTTATTGAAATGGCTGTAACTTTTACATTTGTCATCCGACTTACCTGATGTTAGGTGCGTTTGAAAGAGGATGAACGTATGTTTTTAATGGTGCAAATTTTCAAAAGATGGCGCTGTATGTTGTATGATTTAAATATAGAGTTCGGTTGTTTTGGGACACACCGTGTATTTGCTTGTTTCTCAACGAAATAAATCAGTGAAATTGCGGTTCAACACGTCGTTGTTTGTAATAAAATACCTAAAATATACCCAAAAAGTCCGGAGAAATAATTTTTCTACCAAAATGGCACGTTAAAAAATGTTACAAAAAAGGCGGATTTTTGAGCGATTTCACGTAATAAAGAGTTTGCTTTTACCTTCTCAAATGTGCAAACTATTTAGTATGCCTACTAGAATAAAGGTCAATCAATTAAATAAGAATATTATAACCATATGCTGTAAAACTTACCTCTGATCCGCGAGACCATGATGCAACTATGGCATTACAAGCTAAAGGCAAATCCCTATTGCCTATACACTGTCGTCCTTGTTCGCGTGCCATTTTCTCAAAGTCTGGCTGGGAACCTTGACATTCGTACAGCGTTATTTGTTGCAAGTAATGTATGCTGGACGAGGAGTCATATATGGGCTCGTACTGCATGACATTGAGACGATATTTTACGAAATATCATAGCAAAAGACATAAATATGATAAAAAGAATATTGATAAGTAAGATAAAATTATTACTTAGAACAAGTAAATACTTTTAAAAAATTATTTGTTTGAGAGAATTATTGTAGGAATTAAAAGTTGCTCTTGGCATGCGCTTAAAATATTTGCCAACTTACCCGTATTAGGTGGTGTTTCCGATTGATATCTTCCAATTTGAACATCTTGCACCAAGATAAAGTGCTATCCCCACCCGGCAACGCGACATCCTCATTTCGCAATTCAATTTGTCGTATTTGATCGTCCTTTCGAAAATAGGGTTGCGCTTTTTGAGCAAGTACCATGGGATGATAAGGTCGGAAAGCTGATTCCAAATTAGGTAGAACTGATCCGTTGGGTGGGTCATGACTTTGGTACAAGAAGATGAGTCGCATTGTGTTATTCTGCAGAAGAAATGAAAATAATTTATGATATACGGGATCTTCTACGTTGTTCTTTGCTTTCTGAATTTACAGTTTTTATGGTAAAAAGTGATACATGAAGAGTAATGAATTAGGCCTCTCATTATTCAAAAATTAAAAAAAAAAAATTAAAAATATCTTATTAGATTACACTGCGCAACAAAGAAATTATTTCGGTCTCAAAATTACTTCTATCTTTTGTCGTCTCGTTTTTTGAATGCAAAAACAACCATTAAAAGAATCGGTCAACTCTAATTTTACATATACAAGGTATTTTTTATATTTTATAAATTCTTCTTTTTCAAGCTGCGGAAATATTGTTTATCGAAATTAGCAACATTGTAATTTGACTGCCAGAAGATTACTAAGTGTGATACTATCGCTGTAACGGTGAAATTTATAGTATTTCATACAGACGATAAACGATAGACGTGTTTAGAAAACATGCCATGGTAATTTATGAATTTAATTAATAATTTTGGCGAAGTAACGTTTGCCTCACAAAATTGCATTTTGATGTCTCTTGTAGAGACTGCATATCAACATTATTTGGGTGTGATTTTTCGAGAGTCCATTAACCGCATAGACAATTGCTATTTCGCTTGACTCCGTATATAAGAGCAGAATTATCTATTGAGAAAAACTGTTAAATACCCGAATCTTCTATCAGCTATTTGACCTAGTCCGCATTCAGACAGATTCCTACACCACCCTAGACCTATGAGTTGGAAGCAGAAAATGAAGAAAGTGTAGAAGAAGAACTCAAATCTAGTACCTGGAATATAAGTGGAAAATATAACAAGTGATTGCTATGCTCTTGGGGTTGAAATTAGGATTAGCCGGGATAGAAAATCACATTATATTCAAGCAAATTGGCCTGCAAGAAATCTTAACCCTATAAAAGCACTTGTAGATCCGTAAAATATTCTTCTTCCACCATTACATATCAAGCTGGGCTTGGTGAAGAATTTTGACGAAGCCTTGAACCGAGAATGCCAGGCTTTTGAATATTAAAATTCAAATTTCCTAAAATGAGTGATGCAAAGGTCAAGGAAGGCATCTTTGTTGCGATTCAAATACGTCAACTTGAAAAGACATTGCATTCGATTTAGTTTTATAAGGGAGAGGCATGGCTTTTTAGGAAACTAAAGAGTTGATAACAACGCTCAATTGGTTACCGAATTTCTACAAAAATACCACCAACTCGGCTGCAATATGCCGCAAAAATCAATTTTCTTAACTCGCATCTTGATTTTTCCCAGCTAATTGCGGGAAAAGAAATGAACATAGAGAACGGTGCCAAAGATATATGCTGGTTTAAATGTAGAGATGCTGCAGAGGTCATTTACAAGAGGACAGCTAAAAAGATCGCGATCGAAGTAACCAGTTGATCCTTTATATATCGAAACACCTGGCAATTGTTTTTTGAAGTATTTTGAATTTAAATATCATTAATAATAGTGCAATCACACTTTAAATGTAATTGATATTTACCATTCTCTTCGAAACAATTAGTTTCATCATTTATGTACATATCAGAACTCATTAAGAAAAAGAAACCTCTAGCTTTTTTTTTGTTTCGCGGTGTGATTAATCTGGCTGTGTCTTCGTATGCATGAAAGTCCACAAATATCACATCGACTGAGCTAGTATTTACCTATTGAGCTAAAGAGGGTCATATTGGATATAGTCAGAGATTAGCCGTTTTCTCACTACACAGGGTCTATGAAAATATGCGTATGAATGCCCAGAGTCTGATCTACGCTTACGTGCAAAACCGTCCAATGTATAAGAATAACTTGCAAACGCTATGAATATAACAGCATAATTTTAAGCAACGCAGTGCAATCTGTCGATCTGTGACACCCTTCCCGAAAAGAAAGACTTTAATTTCGCAGCGCATTCGAGTTTTCATTATTTGATGTTATTTGATGGAAATTTATGTTAGTCTTCTATTATAATAATATAAAAAACTACAACTCAATACATAATTACAGATCAGGAAGAAGAGGAGGTGGGGTTGCAACATTTTGCAGGGAATTATTTTCAAAATCTGTTAAAAGTGGTATAGAATATTTAATTGCAGAAGTAAGCTATTGTTTCTTGTGTGTACAGTACTTTCCGAACTAATGTTTTTAGCCCTTTCTTTGATGTAATTTCTTCACATGTTGTTAAGTTTGATTCACTATTTGTTTGTGGTGATTTTAATTTTAATATTCTTGTCAGCGACTTTTACACTGACAGTTCACATGACAATATGTCCAGCTGCAATCATTCTGTGGTCAACCGATCTCTTCTTAAACATGTCCCAATTAGTACGATTACTGATAAGTATCGGTTCCGTACGGTGTATAACTGGAATGTTTTTTAATTGGTTCCTTACAGGGTGACACATATTTTCAGAGGTGAAGACGATTTAATATATAATTGGCTTTGAACTGATTTCCGGCCGAGCTCTTCCGCCACTTTGTGGTATATAACAAATACAATCGAAGGGGTGAGGGCAATAGGAAAACTTAGCCTAATTTTCTATTTAAATTAATTTTACATTATTTTAGTTGTTGGTCAGACCAGGACTCGAACCCTGGGCTTCCGAACAGCGGTACATAAAGCTAACTACTTGGCCATCGCAGCCGCTAACTTTAAGAAAAAAATTTAACTTTGGTATCTCAACAAAGGATTTATGGCGTTCATTGTAAGGGGAATGTCGAATGTTCCTTAGAAGAAATTGTAGTCCGATTTTCGACTCTCAAGCATCATTCCTGCACCGGCTAAAGTTTTTGAAATGCTTAAATGGCTTAACAATAAATGAATCCATTAGCAAGTACAACTTGGTATCCCCGTTTCAATCATGCTTCAGGGAAAATCACAGCTGACATTCGATAGTTAACTTGACTTTTCAAAAGCGTTTGACATGATCAACAATAGATAATTATGCTGTAAATTGGAAGCAGGCTATGGATTTAGTTTTAGTGATTTAGTGACAGGTTTCAGCTAGTAACTAAGCATTAGGGACGAAATATTGCAGCTAAAACCGGTTACTTCAAGGGTGCCTCAAGGCTCCATCCTTGGTCCGTTGCTATTGAGCATATTTACTATTGATATTTTTAACGCGTAGAAATTTTCTAAATTGCATGGCTACGCTGATGACATTAGTTATATTATGTAAAAACATAAACACTGACCTGTCTGCTACATCGAGCTGGGCGGCTGCCAGTGGTCTAATATTCGACGATAGTAAGTGCTGTGATTTTTGCGCTCAATATTTTTAGAAAATTATGCCTTAGTTTTTACTATATTATTATTATTATTATTAGTTAGCAAGATTAAAAACTTAGGATGAATTATTAACTCCAATCCTATACGAACACTATTACCAGACGTCGGCTTCTTATGGGGACCCTCCCCTGATATTGGGCAAAAATCTGGCAAAGTTTGTATTTTTTTGTGGGAGAATAAAAAGGCTTAGGAACTTCCGGTTTTGGCCATTAAATTTGTTTATTATTTAGGATTTTAAAACGATAAAAAAGTAGTCGAAAGTCAAATGTCATTACTTGAAGATCATGAAATGTCCTAAACCTTAATTGAAACAATTTTAACGATAAATTTATTGCATAAGCCCATTGCAATTATATGTTTAAATTTTTGCTGATTTTCCAATTCAATAACGTTAAAAAAATCTAAAGAATTAATTATTAATGCTAATCTTAGGTTAAAGACGTACGAAAAACTATATAATTTGGAACAGTTTTTAGATAAAAGAAATCAGACGATCTAACCGTCTGCCCGAAGCCCGGGGTTTGAAGTTAGATCGGAAATCATTGTTTTGGGAAAAACGCGCTTTTTGAAAGTTCGCAGCAAATATGACAGTGCGTTTGTTCATGAAATTGATTTTATGTTTAATAACGTCACACGCTACGTGTTTGGTCTTTTCAAATATGAACATATCTCGTTTTGGAAATCTGCTTTAGGGATGTACGATTACCAACCAACATAAAACCAAAAATAACATTTTCCTTTACATACTAATTATGACTCGATCTCTTAGCTATCTTTATTCCAAGTTAATAATTCTTATTATCTTTTTTAATAAATTTTATTACTACTACTTGTAGAGCGTACGAAATACTTATTTATTTATAATTTATTTATGTATATATACATGTAAAATATGACACCACCGGGCAGTAAGAACGTTCGCATCGTCCAAACCCGAAGTAATAAGTAAGCCGACAGCCGATGAAACCAGCCGCATAGCAGCAGGGCAGAATTTGAAATGAACTGAATTTTCGATATCATTAAAACTCATAATATTCAACTTTATGATTTAGTTATTGAAATATATTACAATAAATTACATTACTATATATGTATATACAAGATATATATGATTGGCGCTTTGTAGCCGCTGAAGCGATTTTCGACCGAGCTCTTGATATTTTTCCAACAAATGGAGGGTCCTACAGCTTATACTAAGCCGCCTCTAACGGCTGATGGTTTTTGATGAGGAGCTTTATTTCATGTCAGAAATACACTCGGAGGGGTTGGCATTCCCTGCCAAGGGGAAGACCCCTATCAGAAATTTTAAGTTAATTTTATTTAAATCAGAGCTTTCCGAATGGCAGCACGCAATGCTAACCACTCGGCTACCGCGGCCGCCAACACTTGGAAGACCTAATATTCACTGCAGAGGAGCGACCGCAATTAGAAAAATTGATTTTCTGTAATTTTGAATATTTCCCATTTGGAAATTAAAATTTCTCATTGTAATTAAGCTGATAATATAATATTTTCATACATATGTATGAAATATATTGAACAAAAAAACATACATATATATATATAATATGCAAAGTAGTGCAAAATGTATTGCATTTTTCGGGATTTTAATTTAAGCGATTGCAACATTAATTATTAAAATTTAATAAAAATAAAATTATTTATTTGCTAATAATTCAATATGAACGCCTACTGCGAGTATG